TTGGAGGTGCAAGATACCTGAGCGTGTAATGTTAATTTTTACCTGTGTTCATTGAATAAATCAGCACTGTTTTGAAGTTACTTGGACTGTCTCGTCTCTCAGAGTTAGCATGGTTAAAAGAATCGGAATGCTACAATGGCTACGGGCTTAGCTATTGTAAGAATTGGACTTTTGGGTTTAAGTTACCTTCTCTGCTTTTGTTTTGTTTAAGTTCCTTTTTCTAATTACATTCCTTGCTTGGCTGGTTTACCATTGTATAGACGAATGTCACAGCTACCTGATAGAAACTGCTTGTTTGTAAGCGCTTGAAAAGACAATATGCCTGCATCTTTAATTAGTTACATTAGCCTGTTACAATGCCTTTTTTGTAGTGTAATGTCTGCAGAGACCGGGAGCTCCCAAGATGTGATAACCATTTGGTCTGCATTAGCATGTTCACAGGTCTGTATTGTCCTGCATCGCCTATAGAGCCAAAAGTCTACAGCTGCAAACATACCCACTGGTAGCTGACATCTGAAACCACAAGAAGCACACTTGGTTGAACAGTACAAGCTTACCTGAGCAGGTCAACATCTGCTCACGCCAAGGACCAATCACACTGGGACACGTGGAAAGTCCAACCTCTGTTCGGGGCAGTCCCCGCCCACGACAATAAAACGGGACAACAGACTGGCTTCAGGGCTTTTTGATAATGTATCTCCGACAGGAGGTTCGCCATTCGAAGTCCAGCGCGTGCTGTTTATTTTACATACACCAGACTTTGAATAAATTTCTATTTTTCTACATAGCCCTCTTATGTCTTCACTGTGTATGAAGGCCACGATATGCTAACCCCTGGACATAGGAATAAAGCTTAACACCTCACACTAAGGTGGCATTTTTGAAACATAACTTGAAGTGTTTAAGCTGCCAAATACTTGGCTGTATTCCGTCACAAATATAAAGTAATGGCTGTTGCATACGCTTTAGTTGGACATGCATTTATAGCAAAGGGTTGCATGTAATTGTGAGCATGTTATTAAAAAATAATGTGAGAAAGGACTTGGTAGAGTTCAGCTTTCTGGCACTCATCCATTTCTGTCCCTTGTGTCTTTATCTTTTCTACAGCTGAGAAAGTATAAAGAGCAGGAAAAGGATCAGATTTATGAGAAATGAAACTCTCTGCCCGAGAGATGACATCTCCAGTGAATTTTGGTCAGTATTTAGTTGACATAAGTTGTTATTAAGGATATGAAATTTAAAGAATAGTGTATATTATGTAACAAGTAAACAGTTGGATATTTTAGATAAACACTTTTTTTTTATATATAACTTTCTAAGCACTGCTTCCCTTCGCATAGCCAGCCGTTTTGTATGGAGTTCACCCAAGCAACAAACCCAGTCAGAAAAGTGCTGCTTGTGTTGTCACCGTGAGGTATCCGCAGCCATCCAGCTTGTTAACACCGCTGGGTTGCCACTGCCTGTTTTAACTTTCTGAGACACTGTTGAGAAGGTTGGCATACTATTAATACTGTTGATTATTAAACTATATGGTTAAACTGTCCAAAAATCCTTCCGGGCTTTCAACAAAAGAACTGGGTAAAATCTAACAGCTACTGTTGTACCCCGTACTTTTTACCATTTCACTGCAGTTACAGTATCAGACAGAGTGCAAAATCATACTTAATGCTGTTTTAATGTCATGGATGAAACGGATGCTAACCATTTTGTGTTGTCCTGTTTGTCTCCTCCAGCTCTTCCCTTTGCAGATGACCCCAGTCAGTTCCC